TTACAAATCTTTGAACATTTTCAAAGATTTGTAATTAAATAGGTAGGTACTATAATATATCAGATTTATGAAATGGAGAAAATAGTTGAGATGGAAAATGAGTCACACTGAGCGTCCAAAGTGTTGACAGAAATACAGCATCTTTGTGGACAGAAATAGTTTATTAAGTAAATTAGCATTTAGTGCTGCTTCTTGCTGCAAAAAATTACTTCGCTTTTCCAGAATGAGTTTTAATTGCAGTGTTTATTTAACTTATTACACCAAAATGCATTAGATTTGACCTTTTTGATGTGAATATGGTGACAAAGATGATAATTATGATGAGTATAATGATGATGATGATAACAACCATGAATTTCCAGAATAGAGAACCTATTTGTGAACCAGTTCATGCACATGTTCCAGTCCTCCTGGAGCGACTTCGCAGACTTTGAGAAAATCTTTGTGAGAATCAAAAACACAATCTCAGGTCAGCCTCACATTTCTATTATATCGTATCATATCATGTCATATAATGTCATATCATGTCATATCATATCATATCATGTCATATCATATCACATCATATCAGAATGTATCATATATTGTTTATTATCCAGAGTATGTGATGCAACATTGGAAGGAGGACTTCATGTTTGGGTACCAATTTCTAAATGGTTGCAACCCCGTAATGATCCAAAAGTGCACCAAACTTCCTGACAAGTTTCCTGTCACTCATGAAATGGTCTCTGTCAGCCTGGAGAGAGAGCTGACTCTGGAGGAGGAGATAGAGGTAGACATGGTTGTGTCCGTTTCTGTTAATCTGTTCATTTTCCGTATCTAAGATTAAAACATGCATTAAAACAAACGTATTCAATGTTCTGGCTCCAGGCAGGTAACATCTACATCGTAGACTACGAGGTGATAGACGGCATCAGTGCTAACTGCACAGACCCGTGCACACTGCAGTACCTGGCAGCTCCGATCTGTCTTCTCTACAAGAACATTCAGAACAAGATCCTGCCCATAGCCATACAGGTACAGTGATGTGTGTTACCATAGGGGGGGACATTTCCTTTCCCAGTTGACATTTGAGTATAAATCTTCTTTTTTTTCTGCTTCTTCCCCATCATCTGCCTTTCCAGCTCGGGCAGACTGCAGGTGATCACAACCCGATCTTCCTGCCCACTGATGGTAAGTATGACTGGCTGCTGGCTAAGATCTGGGTTCGCTCGGCTGATTTCCAGTACCACCAGACCATCACACACCTGCTCAAGACACATCTCATAACAGAGGTGTTTGGTATTGCCATGTACAGGCAGCTTCCTGCCGTTCATCCAGTGTATAAGGTAAAACTCTGGCTTGTTGATTGGTTGATTGATTAACTGATTGGTTGATTGATTAACTAATTGATGTGCCTTTCTTCCAGCTGCTTATGCCACACATTCGTTTTACCATCGCTATCAACACCAAGGCCAGGGAGCAGCTCATCTGTGAGTGTGGCATCTTTGACAAGGTGAGTTTGTGGATGTGTAGGACAGAAAGAGTAAGATTGAAGAGGAGTTAGAAGGAGATTGAAGAAGATTGAAGAGGAGTTAGAAGGAAAGGATCTATATATATATATATATATAAGAATAAAAAGATAAAATAGAAATAGGAGAAGAGGGAAAGGTTAGAGAAAAAGAAGAGCGCACAGAGCAGCTTTACCCTGCTTATCTGTATTATACTGTAGTACACAATGAAAGGGCACTTTGGTGATAGTTCATTGAGGGTTTTATTTTTGAGTTAAAAACAAACAAAAATGAAACAATGAGGAAATGATGTGCTGGAAGAGAGCAGGAATGCCTAAAAAAAGGCCTATTCAATAACTAAATAATATTCAGAAAAGGCCATAGTGCATTTAGTGATGATGCATACATAGAAATAGGAAAACACAACCTGAGTGACACACGTTACGATGCTGTCTCTCCTCCATCCTCATCAAGGCAAACGCAACCGGTGGAGGTGGTCACGTCCAGCTGATTCAGAAGGCTATGAAGTGTCTGACCTTCAGGTCTCTGTGCTTCCCGGACATGATCAAGGCCCGCGGTGTGGACAAGAAGGAAGAGCTGCCAACCTACTTCTACAGAGACGACGGCTACAGGGTGTGGGAGGCCACAAAGAGGTAGTTTTTTATAGATAGCGCTGATGAATAGTTTGTGTATTTGGGGACAAGAAAAGAAAGGATGAACAGTTAGAGGCATGGGAATATTTCTACACAGCATTTGTTATTTCCCCAATGTGTGACTGGTGTCCTGTTTTCTTTCTGACAGTTTTGTGTCTGATGTGGTGCATATTTATTACACCAGCGATGAGACAGTGCAGGAAGACGAAGAAATCCAGGCCTTTATTAAAGATGTGTGCAGCTTCGGTATGCAGGACTTCGATTACTGTGGTGGGTACATTACAATGTGTGAAGTTTCTTTTTTCAAGGAGAGAAGCAGCTCACTCCTTTAATATTTCATTAGTCCAATATTTCCTGCAGAAGACAGGTATGGCAGGGAACAGACAGCATTACAAATTCAAATCTGTTCTGTCATAGACAAATGGTTTGAGGGTGAAGACAGGAAGCGTCTGATGATTTCACAGTACCAGTGTTGTAATACCCTTCCTGCATTTCTCCATCAACTATCTTTTGCACAGCAACCCTTGCAAAAGAAAAAAGGTTAGATTTTTGTAAAGATTCAAAGCTGGCTTTGTCTATCTCCGTGCACAGAGTTTCCCAAGTCCGTGAAATCACGTGAAGAGCTGATAGAGTATCTGACCGTCGTTGTATTCACTGCTTCAGCCCAGCATGCAGCAGTCAACTTTGGGCAGGTGAGTAAGAGATAATCAGGAACCTACATTCAATATTTATATAAGACTGATCAAATATTTCAGTTATATTAGCCTTACAGTTGTGGATGTATTCTTGTCCGTTGACATGAATTATGCACAGTTATGATTCATTAATTCACTGTTCAGTTCAACAAATAGTTTGTTCACAAGCACACGGATGTGAAGAAGTACTCATATGCTCGACTTAAGTAAAAGTACCAGAGAAATGGTGTAAAAATACTCCAAAACACCTACATTTAAAATCCTAAAAACAACACAAATTTGTGTTATTTTTTTCAACTTTTTACTAATCTTTGCTGTTTTGTGAAATAGCTGATTCTCCAATCAGAGAAGTTTAGAGGGAAAATGTCTCTTTGGGGGGGGGGGACTGCTAACAACCTCAGACACCCCTACTAGACACTGCTTTTTTGTAAGGGGTCACAAATGTTGGATTCCACTGGTTTCATCTTTAACGATGCATTATATTTTATAATATCAGTTTTTTCAATGTAAAATCTTTATCTGTAATGTAAAAGAGCTGTCAGATATATAAAGTGGAAAGAAAAGTATAATATTTGCCTTTGAAATGCAGTGAGGTATAAGTATAAAGTAGCAGAAAATGGAAATATTCATAGTTCCTAAAAATTCAACATAAATTCAGTAGTTGAGTAAATGTACTGCATGCACATACTGTATTCCTTGTGTACATTGTGCAGTATGACTGGTGTTCCTGGATCCCAAACGCTCCATCTACCATGCGACGGCCTCCACCCAACCAGAAGGGCTTGGCAGATGTGAACATGATCATCGAGAGCCTCCCTGATCGTGGACGGTCCAGCTGGCATCTGGGGGCTGTCTGGGCCCTCAGCCAGTACCAGGAGAACGAGGTACGGGGAGGGAACTCTGTATCCAAACAAACAGGAAATCAGTCGCACACTTGCACACATCTGACTACAGACTGGGTTGTTTTAAAGACCAGAAAAGACAAAACTATTAATTTCCCAAAAAGCTTCCTTCTACTTAGACATGCAGTTTTCCCCTGCAGTGTGCCTCCAGGCTGAATGACATGTCTCCTCTCTTGCCCTCCAGCTGTACCTGGGCATGTATCCTGATGAGCACTTCATAGAGAAGCCAGTGAAGGCGGCCACGGAGAAGTTCAGGAAGCAGCTGACAGAGATATCCAGCTCCATCAAGAGGAGGAATGATGGAAAGAAGCTGCCTTACTACAACATGTCCCCTGACAGAATCCCAAACAGTGTCGCCGTTTGAGGAATAAAACTCACTTCTTTGGAAAAGAGGATTGTCATGTCCCTACTTGATATTTTGCATTAAGAACGCTGAAGTTCTGCTAACATTACTGAGTCCAAATACGCTATTAGAAAACTATTTTGTCATCCGAGTGTGTGATTTTGATGTAAATGCATAAATGACAAAAACTAGCCAGCTTCTAAACTGACTGAATATTTGTTAAAATGTTGTTGCATCAAGTTTCCAATTTATAAATGCAGTGTCATTTCTATCTGCTGTGCAAAACAAAAGCTGCTGAATAAAGTTAAATTGCTTTACATTTGATAATAACCTTTTAACAGTGTCACTCACAAACAAATCTTGTTACCATGACATTTAAATTCAGACTGCACAATAAATTACACGGCGTACACTGAAAAAGACACAAAGCATTAAAAGTAACTTAATTTTATTTGGTTGTTCTTTTTAATTCTACATACTTTTGTTCAATAATGGGAAATTAAACTGAAAACACATCAATATTTCTTTTAAAAACATAAGTACTTTTACCAAATTCTTTACAGTTACTATTTTAAAATAAATTCACAGACAAACTTGTGGAATGATATCATAAGACAGGGGAACAGTCATATATGTTCAAGTCCAGTCAGTAGTAAACAAATGTAGCTTTATGCAAGTTACACTATTCCCAGACGTGATAAAATTGAAGCAATAGGGCGAAGACAGACAGAAAAGTCTAGATTGAAAATACAAGACAGTGAAGCTGAGAAAATACCTTTCCTTCTCAGTGGATGTCCTGCTCAATAGGATTATACAATGAAAAAAATCAATTCATGATGACAGAAGAAAGAAAGAAAGAAAAATCTCTCAGAAAGGAACATGGCTGCTTGTAAAAGTGTCTTAAAGTGGCATCAATCTTCATCAGGACTACATCAAAACTTCTGTGTCAGACTTCATGAAAGGAGCCAGCTCCTATGAGTAATATGTAAAAAAAGAAAAAGAAAAAAGAAGCATAATCTACAGTGAATCTTTCATCTGAAGGAAGTCTAAATATTCCATTCTGTTTTTATGTGAAAAACATGAAATGTTTAAATTTGAAGCTGTGGTTACAGGTCTATATTCTGCCTATTCAAAACAAAATTCAATTTAAAAAGCAAGAAGAAAGAGTAGATATTCACATTCGGGTCGCGCAAACAAGCTTTTTACAAGTCTAATACCTAAATAATAAGTGCAAAACAAAAGAGTGAAAGTCATTTTCTGGTACTTATGCCTGGGAAACAAACTAAGTGTAAGTTGCATAAAATTACTATTGAAAGGGGGGGTTTAAATGAACAAATTGTACTCTGTTTTCTTTTTAAAATAAATACAACACAAAATGAAGAAATAATCATTTTATACCCAGAGGACACCCTGGACATTAAACACCATTACATAACTATAGAATAGAATAACAACAAAAGGGTAATTGCACTTTTTATCTGTCTAATTGCACTGAGCCTTGCAGGTATTGAAGTTTCAGAGAAGCTTCTCGTTACTAGGTCTTAATCCAACTTGACACGCGACGATTCCGTAGGCTCGTATTATGCATTTAAAATTATATTAGACTCCAGATCTCAAGTCACCATGGGGCATATACACAAGTACTGTATGCATTGTCACAGAAAACAAAGCGTGGATTTTATTTATTGCTGCTGCTGAGTGAGCAGTAATTGTCAGGTATATTGTTGGACCACTGTTATTCACAGACATTATACTGGTATCAAAGACAGTTTTTAAAAATGTGTGTGTTGCTGGAATGGCTGTGAGGCTCAACATGAGCCTGGCATCGCTGTGCTCCCACTTACACAAAAGCACTTACAATGACTGTAAGCCCAAAAACACATCACCCTGAGAAATCAACCGCTGCCTACTTCAGACTGCACCTACAGCTTCACACCAGCAGGTGGCTCTCCAGTCAGCTCATCAATGAGTGGCGATGCACACTACCTATCACAGGCAGTAAATGTGTGGACCTATTGCATGTGTTTCTTAATGACCTACAGTGAAAATGTTGCACTGATATAAAAATCACCTTGAATACTGAAATAATGTAGTTCCAGTATTTAAGATGTGCTTTACTGTGCTTCCTCTGGGAAACGAAAGGAGGAGGTGTTGGAACAACTGATCTTATTTGAGCCACGTAAGGCCAGATGTGAGAAAAACACTCAATCAAATGAGAGGCAACATGCTGGCTGTCTTGTGATTAAATACTAAAATAGACATCCTCCACCATGTGATAAGAGCCTGGCAAGAAGAAACAAAACACTTTCACTGAGACTTCTGCTCGTCTGAAATGCTTGGTAAAGATCCTACAACAGCACCATGTTACCACAACATAATTGTAAATTAGCAGGTCCTGACATGCAAAGCGAAAAATGTGCCTAAAGCTTTTTTGAAGCAGTCTGCCTGTAATCACAACTATCTATTTGAGGTCAATCAACGCGATGCCTGCATAAGGGGAGCAACAGGAGGACAGACTGAAAATAGGCAGCTGTGGATTTCTCAAGGCATATCCTGTGACGAAGCAAACAAATAAACATATTAAAAACTGCACATGGAATATCACACTGTAAATACTGTGTCATTCGCATGATAGAAAAACATGAGCGATGCTGTTTATGCCCAAAGGCTCTCATTATGATCTCAAGACATGGAAATTATCTGCAATTTCCTGTGACCAGTAAAAAAATGTTGTTTTTTTTTTTATATTTTATTTATTTTTTGAATCATTTTTTAAAAAGTTTACATTCTCAAAGCCTTCAGAAAGTTCACGTTGGGGTAGAGAAGTCATGTGGTGGGACTTTCTGCATTTAGAGTGATGAGCTTGTTATATACAAAACTCTTTTTTTTTCTGTTTTGACTAAAACACTCACGTTTCCTTCAGCACGATTCCATTTTTAACCCCAATTCCTTTTTTGTCATCCATGGGAGGGTTAATATATACGTATATGTGCGTATGAGGAAATGCAACGTCAAATTAAACATTTGTTCGAGTGTGCTGTCCCCCATGTACAACATATAAGACGAAATTCATATTGAAGAAAAAATATAGAAAAATAAAAGGAATGGAGGGGGGGATTTGTTGTGGAACTAAAAAACAAAAGTGCTTCGATGCATGTCCAGATCAAGGCCTGGTCGGATCCAGACCAGCTCGGAGCTGACAGACCACAGCAACAGAGATGGCAGTAGCTGGAATGGTCCAGAGATCCGATGCGCGGCGCTACATACTGATCCACGGCAGGTGAGCCCGAGACCCACAGGAGGTAAAAACAAACAAATCTAACAAACCCACAAGTAAACAAACCACGTTATCAGAGACGTGTAGGCCTCTGGAGCCGTTTTTGAGTCCATTTGTCTCAGTCCTGCTCTCCCAGAGGTGTACATACAAGTGTGTGTGTGTGTGTGTGTGTGTGTGCATGTGTGTGTGAATGTGTGTGTGTGTAGAGGGCTATGCTCCAGGCCTCTTCAGACATTTACAGAAGTCACTAAAAACAGTCCGGTCCCGGGAAAGGAAAGAGGCTAGAGTGTGGTTTGAGGGTGCAGGTGGAGTGAGGGATAAGGTCCGATAGGAGGAGTGTGGATAGAATAAGATAGTCATGGTCTGTCTCTGTGGATCGAGTTTTGGGAATATAAGATGACCAGAGGAGGACAGAGGGTCAAGTCTGCGATCAGAGGAAGGGGAGTATCTGGTGGTTCCTCAGTCAACGAGCACTTCCACGACAGCTTCACTGCGGGCCTGTTTGTGTGTGTATGAGTGGGACAACCAATGGCATGAACTGAACGGTCAGACATGGAGCACCTCCATACTGTAGTCCTCTGTCTCTGTGTACTGGGAGGAGTTTGTGTCCGACTGGGTGGGGGCCAGAGCTTCCTTGCTTTCCAGACTCGGCTCCATGAGAGGCGGCTTCTCCAGCGCCAACTTTTTACACGTGTCTGGCCGGTTCTGGACATATATGACCCGGTTGTAAGCCTTGAGTCTCCTCCATAAGTGGATATAGACTTTGCACTGGACATACATGAACACCAGTCCACCAGTGAAGCCGATGGCCACAACCACCAGTTTGGTCCAGAAAGGCCATTCCAGGATCCCTGCAGGACAGAGGACAGACAGAAAAGAAACAAACATCAGACCAGACTGCACTTTAACTCCATTAAAATAACTAACATCAATAAAATCTGGCATGGTATTCATTGTGTAATTATTTAACCCTAGCAGAATTCTTCATGTTGCTTTTCATACTGTAGCAACATGAATAGAAACAAATGCGAATGCGCCTCGGAGGCCTAGGGGTTCAGGCGCTGACCATGAACCAAAGCGCGCCCAGTTCATGACCGTCTGGTGACCTTTGTTGCATGTCATTCCCCATCGCTCTCTCTTTCTCTCATCTTTCCAATGTCAATGCCTAGTTAAGGCATAAAATGCTAGACAGATAAGATAATTATATATGACAAAAAGAAACAAATGACTGCTACAAAACTTAAAATAAACAAACTTACTACAGCAGGCTTTACAAACTGGTGATTCATTGTATATTTGCTAAATCATGCAAACACATGTCTATGGGCCTTGAGGCAGGAGCAACATTTCTGCCCAAAACTCTGAAACATAAGGCTAAAAAAGTAAAAATTTTAAGAATTCTAAATATGTGTAACAAGCTGCAGCATCATCCAAAACAAAAACTCAGAGGCAGAAAAACAAAATCCCTATTTCTTTGAAAATACACAGCTGACCTTCAGCCCATCAGTCTTTTCATGTTGGCTACTCTATTTTAGGTTGTTTGAGATATGAACACAAGAAAAGGTCCACAACAGTGTGACTAAATCCTACCCTTGATGATAGAATAAGTATGTGGAATGAAACACAAAAATGCCTCATATAATGGGAAGAATACCAGTTCACACAAGGCAAACAAATTATGTTCAGTAGGGTATTAACTACGCTTATGCAGGACAGCGATATCAGGTGCTCTATATCTGACTTTATGAGAAAAGATTAATGTGTCATCTGTTGTGTGTGAATGTGTGAGTGAGGTTTGTTTTAATAAAAATCCTCAGTCACAAAGTGTAGCACAGAAAAATTAATCACAGCAGACTGACAGTTGAGGAACAGTGTGTCTGTCTGCATTCATTAGGTTGGTACATTCAGTGAGGCGGTATGAATATAACCGTCCTTTAAGGGTGAAGAAGTATTATTTTATCCTGAAATCAAGGCGGAAGGAAAAGGGAAGGAAAGGGGCGTGAGGTGCAGTAGGAAAAGAACTGGATACAGCTGACAGAAGTGCTGGCGGAGGGGAAAACACAATTTGAAAGTCAAAAGGTCAAAGTTGAAATGTTTACCTGGGATTCTTCCGGCTGCATGAGTAAAGAAAGTAGTATCATGTATCATGTATTACCAGAGACACAACAAACAGATTGATAGAAAAGGCAAAGCGCAGAAAGTAAAGACAAATATTACAGTTTAGGATGTAATTCATCATGCAATCATAAACATGAAATCTGCTTCACAAATCACAGTGAAAGACATTTCCAGGTGTACTAGATCTAGAACTCTACTGTAATCTTTGTAAGCAAATTGAGAGAATAACATAACCGTGGTTCTGTGTGACTTGGCAGAGGACAAGCAGGGCTGGTAAGGAACTATTTGGCATCACCATGGTGATTGAACCTGACAGCCCTCAGGGACTCTAACAAGTCTGAATCATCAGGTTGGGCTAAACAGGCACAGCCTGCTCTTCCATCTGTACACTGTCTCAGAGGAATGAGTGGCAGTAGACGTAGTGCCAGCGCATCATACAACAGCTCATCATTAAAGCAGCCTTCTCCATTTTTAGCCCCGATAGCGAGAGCACGGCAGGAGGGCGGCATCAATCTGTCCTCAGTAACTCAGTGCTGCTGACCACACTAGTGGCTGCTACAGGGGACTGAGGTTTTTAAAAAGACCATAATGCCCTACTGACCATTTGCTTTCTTGATTATTGCCTGTAGCTTTTGCCGTCTATGGTCCACAGCAGGTTCCAATTTGGCACATACGTATAATATTGCAAAATAGGAGTTCTGAGAGGTTTTCACAGGACACAACAGCCAATTTCAGCCAATTTTAGCCAAGACTGTCCAGTCTTTATGCTAACTTTAGCTAACTGGCTGCTGCATCTTGTATAAACACATAAAAGTGTGGTATCAAGCTTCCTTAACTCTCAGCAAGAAAGCAAATAAGTGTATTTTACCCAAAATGTGAAAATATTTCTTCAAATTTCTCACAGAAATAAAATATTAAGATTATTGTGTGTTTAGGCATTTATCTTTTGGCTGTCCAGTCTTTGCCACAAACAGGCACTTACTGTCACATGGCTGCCAGACCTTCCACTCTTACATGTTTTGCAGTAATTTTCTGTAGTAAACACACGTGCTGATAAAAAAAGTCACACAAATGTACACTTTTCTTCTTGTTCTTTAACAACAAAAATAACCATAAACTGACCTTCTACTTTGCCATTTTAATTCACACCACGCACACAAAACCTGATCTCAGTCCCTTGAAGAAGAAAATGAACCAAACTCAGTCTCAACCTGGATCTTAGAGTGATAGATGTAAATATCTATCTTTAAAATCTCTTTGCTTCTTGTCTTTTATCTCTCAGCTTTGTCTTTTATGGACTATAGGTCTGAAATTAAAGTGAACTGAAAGTCCAAAAACACTGACAGAAAATCATCTCTAAAGAATCTGAGCACACTCTTCTACACACTTTGATGCCCACTGAGCTTCTGCCAGTGAATTACGCCCACATGTATTCCAATCTTAGAGAACATTTCACACTATTCGTGCTCAATACTCGTACCGCTGAAATAACACTACAGTTATGCAGATTTGTCATTAAACACTGTACATGAATGACTTGGAGACGGCGGCAGATTGTGGATGAATGGATTACATCCAACACAGCACTACATCCAACACAGACAACGGCTTTACATTAATGCTTTTGTGTGTCTGCTCATCCCAGTCTGTGCTGACCTTGTTTGATTTCATCAGCTGTTCTGTCGATGAGAACGTAGAGCGACCATACCACGCAGGTGATGGCGATGACATGGAAGGTGACAGAACACATGATCTTCCTTCTCTCGCTCGCCGTCATCTGTAGCTTCTCCCACTGCGGCAGACGGCACAGGAGGACAAAAGAAGGACATTAGAGGAGGTCAAAAACAACACATCCACACACAAATAGAAACGTAAGCATGCTTTTGAACACACAGTTGGCATCAATCAGTTGGCTCTCTCTGCCATTTTCTGGAGCAGCTCAGAGTGTGAGCTAAATATTTGATGGAGAGCATTCAGCTACTGTGATCAAGATCCAATGCTACATAGGGCTTTTAGGCAGGGCGAGTAAGATGGAGAAGAAAAGTGGCACTCAGCACCCTGCACACAGAGGCCAGGTACCTCGTCTGTCACTGGCCTCACAATACATCAGGAAATGAGCCCAGCGATACAAACAAAAGGCAAAATACAATGCCAGCACCAACAGATCAGGTTTGTAAATAAGACTGTATAGGCTCTCCAAACATCCAAATGCATTTGTCGTGTATTCAGTGATGAAATGGGACGCTCGCAGGGTCACTTTGATGCGAAGCGAGTGTCGCCGTACAAGATGAAACTAAGCGTCCACGGATACACACTTCATACCACAACCAACATCCTCATCTCATCTTGAATTTCTTTGCGAGCTCACACACGAACAACTTCAGTGTTTCACCAGTGGGATTCAGAAGCTATTAACAGCGGAGCATTTGTTTAAGGCCTTTTGTGCAGCTAATGAAGGGTGGAGGAATTTTAATTACAGTGTCCTGCTATCTCCAGGCCACAGCGATTGAAAAGAGCCTTTAATGGAAGTGTACTTCCTCTAAACCATTTCAAATGAATCAGAACCCCCCCCCCACCCCTCCCTTCAACAAGTTCCGCTTATAAAAAAGGCTTCAAAGCTCAGTGTCATGCTTGTGTTATCTTCAAGACAGATTGGAGACAGCTTTTGGCATTTTCAGCTTCATAACGAAGGAGTGATGTGAGCTTAGTTGGGACACTTGGAGGCAGAGCTGCAACGACAGCCTGAATTTATCCAGAGACTGAGCTAATGAACACGAGCATTAATTGACTTAGAGTTCCACTTCAGCTGAATATACACATATACAGACTGTACATTACCTTGCGCAGCGGTTTGAGCTTGGTCTCCATGATGAACTCATATTTACAGAGCTCACAGCAGCGAGTGTCGGAGCTCTTGATCCACTGCTGTAGACAGGACTGGTGGACGAAGCGCAGACTCCCTGTGCAGTGGCATGGTGTGATCAGAGGGCTCTCGTCATCCCCTTCACAGTGACAAATCCTGCGGGAGCCAAAGAATACAGTCAACACTAAGCTAGAAGCAAGACAGCTGTAATAGGAGGAAGACAGGGAAGAGGAAAGATCAAAAAGAGGTTGCTGGCAGGCAAAGCCGACAGATATTTCCCCAAACTCGGGCAAACTTGAGTTTTGGAAGATATTATGTCAGCAAACTTGTAGTATTCTCTAGTAGTACGTATAATAAGACAAGGTGTTGGGAAAGCATGGCAGGTGGGGATATAATTTTCACAAATATAAAAGCATATTAACACGCTGAACGCAGAAGACAAGGTCCCACATGAATAAACTCAATCAAGACAAACTAATTTGATTCAAACCACTTCATTTGCAAATCAAAATGACATTTTCAGAAAATAATGTTCTGTGTTCTTGCAACGTCGCAGCACAAAATTGAACACAACAAATCTAATATCAGATACCCTGCAGTTGTGGCAATCTTAGTGTTTCAAGAACTGATACAATTTGCCTTTAATGATAACATTCGGTTGATTCACACAAGGAGTGCAGACAATATAATCAACAACAATGTTATGGCATCTAGCAAAACACAAGTAAAATTTTTAAAGCTTCTCAAATTTTGTATTTGTAGCAAAGCCACTGCATGCAGTTGCATTGAACTGAACAGCAGGTGTTTGTGATACTGTGTTAAGCCCCTGTAGATGCTTGGTAAGGTATTCTGGGCACAGGTACTGACAACTGGAACATTTGATTAGGTGTCTGCTACCTCTAAGGGCTGCTGGACAGGCTTTTCTCAGAGAGAGGAACCAATCAGATTTTTAATATCAGACCGAAGCGGTCCCACTATTCTCCTCAAGATCACATATCGGACACTGACTGACAGGTTTGAGGAAAGAAGTTATTAGTCACTCACACTAAGGAGGACTGTATTTGTGAGATAGATTTGTGCAAGACTCCTGACTATGTACACACTTTCACCAGCGAGTCAGCCACAGTCTGCCAAAGCAGTGAGTTCAATGGTCTGAGACAAAATGGGGTTGAAGAAGGTTATTAGAGCAACCTATTACCTCCAAGGCAAGTTAATATTATACACACCCCACTTGCAGAAAGGAGAAGCTAAAGTCATTATGATCTCAGAATTCAATGTCAGGACATTGACCTTGTTTGCGGCTGATCTAAACAGGGAGTCCTCCGTGAATGAGAAATAAGCCAAAAAAAAAATCAGCTATTGCTTGTTCCACCACAACACAACTTTGATTAAAGGTCAGGCTGATCTCTCTGGATTAAATAACAGAACAATAGTAAAGGCAGGAAAATCTGTTGTGTAGAATAAAGTGCACCCGATGCCCCTGCAGAGGTTAAATGGACAACAAGCTACACAAGGGAAGGAGCTAGTAGTTATTTCAACCTACATTTCAAATCCAGTTTTTCTACCAGCTGACGCATAAACCAGGAAAGGCTTCTACTGTCTTTTCCCCTCAGTGAGATGCAGAGAGCAGTGGCACTACTCTCTGTGGGGAAAAGAAACAAGTAAACGAAGGCATTGAAAAAAAAGGTGGAGAAGGAGAAGAGAGCAGGGTGTTGTCTTTATCCCGGTTCATGGGACACATGAAGACACACCCACACATGCCCACACATGTTAGAAAGTGAGCGGGGCAAGACGTCTATTTCCAGACTGATCTGGCCAAAGCGTTACAAGATTAAAAGACAAAGTGAACAAAGGAGGATTAAGAATAGGTAATTTCTACGGGATTCTTAACTAGAGGAGGAGGTGGAGGGAGATGAATGTGGAGCGAGGGATTAAAGGATAGAGGAGGCACAATTAACATCTCTGGAAGAGTGTTTTTTTCTCTGTTGGATCTGGCTGGGCTGCTTTGTTTGTGTTTGTTTGCATGGATCACAAGATGATGAACTGCAGTTTCTCATCCCACACATACCGTACTGTACTCTGCTCTTAAAAAAACCCCCAAAAAATCAGCTTGAGGACCTGAAATCTTACTGCTTATATCAAGGTTTGGCGACTGCTGAAATGGACAGATTTGACAAATTTATTTTATGTTCATGTTTTTTTTGTTTTGTTTTTTTTTTACGTAGGAGGGGATAACTGTAGAAGAATCCCTACACCTCCACAAGGATCCATGATGGAAATAAAGTGATCAGTAAACAACATGAGTGGAAGAGGCTGTAGGGATCTTCAGCTGAGAAATAAAGATTTCATGGAGGCTTCAGCTGCTGAATAAAGTCAATATTTTATATAAACTACAGCAAAAGGCACTTTTAAGATAGAAACCTCACAAATAGAGCACATAAAATTCAGCTTTGTCATTCAAAGTGACGTGTACGTCCATACATTTAACAGAATTATCCTAAACCCTTATACGAATTTACAGTTAAATTTACTGTATCAGTGTTAAAAGGCTCCTCTGGATGGAGATTGTTTTAAACGTAGCAGTGTGGTGTAGCCTGTGTCAGCAGCAGCAAATTCAAAGCACTGTTAGGCATAGAAGGGAAGTTAAAATTTAATTTGTATCTTTTGAGCAGCCAAAACAGACCGTGTTTAATAGTAATTTTAAGATGGCAGAGGCGCCGTTAGAGAGTGTGTCAACATTAAAATGTGAGAAGAAAAACAGAGTTGGAAATCACAAGCACCACAAACAGAGGGAAACAAGATCTGCAACATTGCCGCCCTGGTGAGGCATTCAATTTGTTCCTGTCCTCTCTTGTCTGTTTCCTCATACTTTTTCTCCTGCGGCATGCACCTGATCTTTGAACTCTTCACTCTCTCAATGTGTCGCTTTAAGATCCCCTCCCTCCAGCTGTTACATGTTCTGCCCTCAGTCTGAAATGTTTATGTATTTATTTTCAAATTAAATTTTCAACGCCAATCTGTTGTTTTTTTGCGCTTTTTGCTAAACAGGTTTTCACAGGGCTGGTATGGGGCAGAGAGTGACATCTGAGGCGTTTTGTTCTCTCCTGTTCTCAGCCTGTTTTCAGTCTGAACAGTTTAAGCTCGACACTCTGCCAGAGACATGCTGAACAGAGAAAAACACAATTCAATTAGCAGCCGCACCACTGGAAGCCATCTTCCTTTTTCCTGCTTGCCCCCTCTCTGCATGTTTTACTAGGTTTGTGTGGGCATGCTTGCCTTAAAAGAGAATATTAAATTTACTGAGAAGAAACTTATCTTTCAGAGGAAGGTTTAGGACTTATATAGACTCAAGCTGGTTTATATTGTCAGACGTAAAAGCTCAAAAGGTACCCCATGGAAATTTGAATACTTGAGGCTCTATGAAGCACAGGGCCTCAACTTTTTGTTTGTATCTGGTGCTGTACTAGTACATGCTCGAGGACCACAAATATGCAAATAATGGAAGTATGTAGAGTGTGCAAACCCTAAAACATTAAGAAGAAGAGAAGAGGCAAAGCAAGTACAAGAACTGGAGCAGGCAGTCAACGCAGAAAATAAGCTATAATAATTGCCATTTACGGTTGGTCATGTCTATCAAATAAAGAGGTTTAAATGACACCAGGTTTTTATTCCAATCTGCTGATCAAAAGAAGTGGTAGTAATGTGTTAAGCAATGCAGAAAGAAATGCATTCAGAAGTTTGTTAGGATTCACATAATGCATTCTGGTGCAAAACACTGTATGTAAACACTGTGTTTACCTTTTTTTCTCTAAAAAGGTGACTTTTCTGATAAGGAAAGAAACGAAAGAAAGTCACCTCTTATCACACTTTCAACTATTACATGCTGAAATCTTGTCAATAAAAGACCTGGATAATAATTTACGTGCCATTCGTTTGTGAAAAACAAGCACACACGTGCACACACTCTGGTGAACAGGTGAGGTCAGTCTGCTGCCCTGAGCTCACGCTTCAAGCCACCTGACAGAAGATGTGTGTTTTTGTGTGTGTGTGCAGTCAGAGACTACGCAGGCTATTTGAAGCCAATAATCTGCCTCCTGATCTCTTGCCTTCACCTTTCCCATTCTAAGCTCATGTTTCTCCATCAGCCCACGGCTGACGTAGAGAATAATCTGGAACAGAGTTCATGCAAAGACGTGAGCTGATGGGACAAAAACAAGACAGAAATATATAAGTGACATCTGACTTAACTCTCATGTGTAGTGGACCGACAGATACGATAACCCATCTATGTAGGGCTCAAAATTCCTTTTCTTGGTGACATGGTAAGATCTGCCGCTAGCAAACAGGCCACATAGCCATGAACCGGTCTGTCACGTGAAAAAGACTGATGAGGGCCCTGTTGACCCAATCAGACTGACTCCATCGGTTCAACGTTGTTTATAGTCCCCTGTCTGCCTTTGTTTCACTATTTCTCAGACGGACACTCACTCCATTCCTCAAAACTATTAAATTTTCTACCCTAACCTCTGCCCCTCCATCTTTTCCTAAACATTGGCATTGCCCCTTATTCCTGCCTACTCCTGCAAAGCTTAAAGCTTTCGGGCAAAATCAATCAGAAATTTCCGCAGCCCATGTAAGACACTTTAACGCCTCATCGATCTAGTAACAATGAAAAATTATTTAAAAAACACAGCCTGACAGCACAATGAAGAACATGGCAGACCATTGAGATAACAGTGAAGTGAGATGAAATGAAATGAAATGAAATGTTTTATACACATGAGGGGTTGAATCAGGATAGCTGAGGAGAAGGCGTATGGTTTTGCAGTGTGTGTAGACTTAAGCATTTATGTGTCAAGTTCTTCTGATTAACAGCTCCACTCTGAGCAGGGGTTTGGAGGAGAAATACTGCTGTGGTAATAAGATATTCTGCTGGGTAGTTACTCTACAGGTTGAGAAGCTCTCCACTACTCCACAGGGCTCTAGGGTTCACTGCCACGCAATGGCACAGGGGTGGTCTGGGCTCTACCAAGTAACAGGAAGGGCGGGTGTGGATTATACCATCCAGATAGTCACCCACCTGCAGCAGTCCCCTGATAGCGAATAGGGGGACAGTGGCCCAGTTTTCTCTGACAAAGGGGATGGGCAGCAGTCCAAGTCGCTGTCCTCATCCATATAGCACAGGGGGGCAAGAAGAGCACCTGGCCCAGCCCTGGTGATTGTTTCTGGGGTTGCCAGCTGGCCCATGCCCTTTGAAGCTTGACTAGGTTGGTACTCCTCAAACACGTCGTCATCTCCCAGTTGATCCTCGAGGGGAAACCCTGACTCGCTGCCTTCCAGCAGGGCGCTGGAGGACTTGGTGATGTGGAGGTGAGAGGCGTAGCTGCCGAGCTCAGAGCACTGAAGGCTGGCCGAGGTAGAGGATCGAGAGAAGGGGAGGAGGAGACGGAGGAAATTGGCGCTCGGGGAGGGATGAGGTTGAAGGTGGGTGTTAGAAAGAGGAAGAGCAGGAGCGATGATGGTGGGATCAGATGGGAGACAATTGGCGGGTGGGATGCCCAGCATGTATTTGTAGTTGTTGGTGAAGGAGGGGACAAGGTGAGGGTGGGTGCGTGTTGAGAAGGCCGGATTTGGGTTCTGGTGTGCGGGTGCTGCAGCCAGCTTGCCGTTAAGTGTGTGCGCCCTTCGATCCGAGCTGGGTGGCTGAGGAGGCTCGGGCTTCAGCTCCAGCTCCCCCTCAGAGCAGGTTCGGTCGATAAAGTGCAGACCTCGACAAAGACTGTCCACGCGCTGGCCCACGTCGTTCAGAGACAGAGAAAACCTGAGCGAGCCGTTGGGGCGGATGTTGACGGATGAGGAGCGGATCAGTGAGAACCAGTCTCGTTGTTTGGCGTGTTTGGAAGCTGGTAGGGCGTCTGTGCAGAGGGTGGTCACTGAAATACCCCCTGAACCTTGACAGGTTTTACCGTTAGAATTCAACAGAACCACAGCAGTCTGCTTGTGACAGTCCTGATCCTGACTGCTGCCGTGAAAGTGTTTGTGCGTGTGCGTTTTATGAAAGAGGAGCGTGATTGACGACAGCGAGGAAGACAGGAGGAGAAGGAATGAGAAAGGACAAAAAAGAGAAATGGAAAAGACATCATGCATTTGAAAACAAAGGAATTTGAAAAACGGAGATAAAAGGTTTCAGGGGATTTGCCTCTGCATGAAAATACCAAACACTAGATGACATTTGTTACTATAAAATCCATTTTACAGCAGGGCTACCTCCAACAGTGACAACTCAAGGCTAAAGGGTAAACCAACAGTGCCCATTGATAAGGTTCTTCACCAGTAATGGACTGATAAATAAGATTCAATTTCTTGTCCTCAGGTGTTCATATCACTGTGGACATAAATGACATCACCGGCAGTAAGTGGAACTAAAACAGTCTGTACCTGCAGATGTCCTGGCTGGATGGGGAAACCGACGTCCTCGAGAAACTGCATGGAGCGTTGACTGAAGTCGGGCTCCCCGCCTGAGGAACAAAACACATACACAACAATATAACTACAGAAATAACTACCGTATTGTTCAACGAGATCAAATCATATCTCCCGCATTGCCAGGACAGGTCTTGTGTGCTGAGAATTTAACAGGCTATCGGTGCCTGAACCTGATATTCACAGAAAGAGTGAAAGCACCGCGTCACACACTGGTGCACAGGATGATAAAAAGGAAAAACACAATACGGGCAGTTAATCTATCTGATTAAAGTAGTGCCAGGCAAAATCTGTCTCAGATGCGTCACAGATCAGGCAAAACACCAGGCTTGCCATGGAGAGAAGCGCAGAGGAGACAGACTGCGAGACAGAGGGAGATTTATGAAGAATGAGGCGCTGAGAGAAGCACAGCTGGAGGACGTGAGGCTGTGGACTTGTTCAGCCTCCACAGAGAATTTTTAAACAGATGCACCTGCAGGTACAAAGCTGTCATAATAAAAATACCTTCAGCATTATCTATTGTAGCTTTTACCAATATTTATTTTACACAAACAACATGGTGAGGATTAGTTAAAATGGTTATGGATTTTAGAGGAAGCTTGTTTTATTACAATTTGGGCATTATTCACAAACATTTGGCCACCATTTCTATTGGTTATGATCGTATTTTACTCATCAAATTTACTGATGAGATCTGAGAACACAACAATATCCCTACTACAAAGTCTGACTGGGCGAGAAACATGAGCAGTCAGACGATCATACATGTCGTAAAGAAGCCAACAGTTTAGCTGGCAGGTTGTAAACAACAGTCTGGCCACATTATGTAAACTAGAAAACACTGAAAGTTGGTAAATGTTGGTAATAAGGCTGCCTTCAAACATTGTCGCCCAATATAAACAACAGGAAGATTTAGAGATGTTTTTTAAGATGGTTCTAGCCTTGCAGTCGCATTACTTATATGGTCTGAATTCATTGCTTTTTCAGTGTTCTGTAGTAACACTTTAAATGTCCTTTAAATTAGTTGAATTAATTCCATTAGTGTTAATATTGAATTTATTTAGACGTAACCACTCAAAATCTCAATATCTCTAACTTCAGTCTAAGACGGAGGCTGACCTGTAAGTTTTTCCCTCCGGGCTGCTTGTAATTACAGTTTGAATGATATGAAACAAACATGGCATAATCCCTCACAGCACAGGGAAACACACAACTATGGTGAGTACAAAAGATCAAAGGAAGTCAGTATGTAAATGGTAACCTGGTTTGTACAATGGTATTATAATTGAGAACCAGAAATACAAAACTAAGATCCGAAGTGCAATTAACCATAATTCTCTGCGGTCTGGGAAAGTCGCTTCTTCACTTTCCTACTAAGTGTGAGAGGAGAAGGTACCACTCTCACTTCTGTATGCTAAATAAGAAACTACAGCCAGCACCTGGTTAGCTTAGAATAGCATAAAGACTGGGTCAGTCCAATGGAAATAAACTCTTAGACTAAAAACTACCAAACCCAGATTAGTCAGCAAAGTAATCATAATCCCTCATCAGGCCTAACTTTCTTGGGACTGCTGCTTGGACGGTATTCTGATCTCATATCGTCTAAGTTATCTTATAATTCTCATGCTCCAGCTCTGGTTTATAAATTATCCGATACAGAAATGGCAAAAAAAACAAAAGCCTCATCATCAGTAGTCTCAGGTACATCTTCAATTCCAGAGCTACTGTCATCACAACCCTCCAATATCAAAGAAAATGATTGCTCTGCACTAAATCTGACATCTGGGTTGTGTGAGGAAGCTAATATAAACAAACCTTTTCATCATTGCGTCTGTATTGATTCATAGGAACAGTGACATTATGAGGCCAAACAAGAAAACACTGTGAACTGAAAAAATTTACCACTTTTCCATACCTCGGTTCTCTAGTGATCTTAAAAACTTTTTAGGGGAAAGATTATGAGAAAAGAAAATGCTATTCTTGTCATTTTGACATCAGAACAATGTTTACAACAAACAGTTTGAGGAATACCAAAGAGTGGAGTTCTTAATCATATTAAATTAATAAATTAGACCGGGAGCAATATAGTATATAGTATGCATTTAAGGGTTAATCCAGACTATTTCTTTCCCCAGGCAATCAGTTTCCCCCTGCTTCCAGTCAGAAAGTGAACATGTGTGTTTCCCAAAATGTCAAACTATTCCTTTAACAATCTATCCGACGTCCTAGCGCTCCTCCAGAGTGCCAGCGAGCACACCGGGTAGTGAGGGACGATAAAGGACAGGGATCAGATGGTGTTTGGGTTGCTAACATAAAGACACACGGGGCAATGGTAATTTCAATAAAAAACTAATTACCTATTGATTTCATTTCTAAGTAAGGGAAAATTTATAGCTCACAGGCTGACACCAATCAATAGAAAATTCAATGTTCAGCTATGCCCTTCGGTCTGCTTTTCTGTCTGTGCACGAACAGCACAGCTTTTCTTTAACAGTCTTTTTCATTTGCACACAAAGACACAAACATGCTGTCCTTCTCTTTTCTATTGTCATTCTTTAATAGTTCACCCAAGGGTGTCAAAACATAAATTTAATTTCTCTTAAAAATTTCAATTTTCTTATTTTGATAGTTTGACATTCAAGGCTGCTGTTTGGAGCTCCTGCAAGAGTCTGGACTATGAATGTAAAATGAATAGGCAGCTCTGAGATGTGTGTGAGAGACACAAATATCAGATAAAAGGCAATAAAACCTTATTATCTTGGAACCAGACCTGTATTTAACTACATAGCTGGAAGATGGTGCTTTAGCTTTACACTTCAATAATTACTAGAAACAAAAAAAACTGATGACATATGCTCAACTAAAACATCGTGTGACTGAAAGTGGTAAAAAGAAGAGGCAATCTGTGATTGCACTGACGACACTGGATGAAATCTTTATTCCCTATTTTATTAGCTAGCTGTGTAAACATGATGTTCCAGTACCATCTTGCTTCTGTTAATCATTCATGTTTCCATCTCGTGTGAGTTGGCAAAAGATAACCAGCTCTGTCTCTGATCAGAGTCAGACAGAAGAGGGATGATAGCATTACAGAGATAGTGGATGATTAACTTCCCTGCATGTATGACTCTTCAGACTTCTATTAACCATCTGCTCTCTCATAACTGCCCTCTCTTGTAACGAGGACCTTTGATGAGTAAATGAGTACTTGCATTTAAGGGATAACCAAAACACTGCATGCAATGGTATTTCAACAATTGCAAAACAAAAATTGTGTCGGGTGGCCATGTCACACCTTTTACTTTTGAAACTGTAAACTATGAAAAGAAGCTAATTTACACTTAAATGTATCCATTAAGTTCTTGGTTCATTCGATTCTTTGACTCTGATGTCCTAATTAGATATAATCCAGCCTCATATTCTCATTGTGTGAACACCTGTTTATTGTGCTTAGTGAAACAGTCTCCCAATTCATCATCATAACTACTTATTTAACCTCTCTCCTTGAGCCCTCACGCACTTCATCCTGGAATAAATTATCCTCTTATCCACTTGTTATACCTTTTCTTCCTTCTTTCATTTCTCTTACACCTCCTCTCGCACATCTGTTCACCTCTGCCTTCATTCTCATTTTACCGTCTCCATCTGTACCAGGAGAGAACCACCAGCTCTCATTTTCTAGTCTCCGGGGCCTTTCAAAGAATAACCTTTAAAATCTAACAGGAACAATGAATCACTGCCCCCCCAGTGAGAAGCTTCTAACAAGACACATTGTTGAACGACTGTGTGAATGGACCAGATGTTGACAAGATGCCAATAGAAAAGCAACACAGAAGATAAATATTAAAATTCATTCTTGACCTTGAAAACAGTACAAAATGACAAAATAATCCAAATTCAAGGTCCGCTTGCTCAAGTTTTTAACCACATCACATGGTCTTTTTTGGTGGACATAGTTTGCTCAGATGTAATAGAGATGGAACTGTTGACAAGAATGAGGTAGACCATGTGATGTGAGTAAGAGGACTTTGAGTCAGGAGTGCTTTGTCAAACTATGGTCTTAAAGGTAAAATGGGTTAATTAACATTCTTGCTCAGAGTCAGATGAGAAGATCGATGCCACTCTCACGTCTGTGTGTTATAAACGGAAAGCTACAGCTAACTGCTGCTTAGCTTAGCATAAAACACACAGAGAAACTGCTACCCTGGTTCAGAAAACCACCCTAAAACCAAAAAAAAAAAAAAAAACAATTCGGTTTTTGTACGGATTAAACAGAACAGAGATATCGTGCTCCTAGATGAAGATAAGGGTTTCTTTCTTTTTTGTTTTTCTTGAAAGAGATATTTAATACATTTATAGAAACTCGCACCTACTCTCACAAGGTAATTACTGTTTAAAAGGAAAATCATTACATATGATTATCAAATATGCTCAGGGAAGATTAAATATTGTACACACTTCATGGAAAATTATTTTGAAGTGACTAGTGTTCATGTTTAGTGTTTCTTACATTTTGTTTGGCAGACTAAACAAACAAGCTCTGAGAAACCATAATGGGTATATTACACTATTTTGTAATTAACAATGAATCTATTAACTGAAGAATAATCTCCAGATTAATGTATAATAAAACTAATTTGCACAATGGCAGCCCTATATGTTTGACGTACCTTTATGCAGCTTCATATTACTGTATTTTGTGTCTCTCCTTGATAGGCGTCATTTGGCAGCTTTGCTGACAAATAAGAATTAATAGCGTTTGTCACCAAAAGCATTTTGTAATAAAACCATTCAAGTCAAAGTCAAAGACCGGAGCCAGCTTAAGCAGAAACTCATAAAAATGAGCAATGCTGCCAGCAATTAAACACAAAAAGCAAAACAAACTATGATTTGTTCCAAAGAAATTAACAATTTTAACTTAATTTTTCTTCAAAAAAATGAATTATGAGCTGAATGGCCCAGCGCCTGGTTTCAACATCAGTGGTCTGCCAAGCTGAACAGAGCAGCAGGACCGGTCCTGTAGCGATTTGGAGGACTGACCCAGGTTGTGCACTGCAGCGATGGAGCCTGAAATGCTGCAAAACTGCAGCAGCTTGAATTTTAGAGCACCACCAGATGTTTGGCTGACTATCAACGGCAGCCCACAGAGTGGTGGGTCGCTGCTTTGTGTCTTTATGAGGACTGTAATAGTTTAATTCCTTCCCAAACAGAGTAGGAGGCATTGCACAGCTTCCTGGCACTGTGCTAAAGAGAGAAACGGCTACAGCTAAGCCTCCTGACCTCGCCAAGTGGAAAATCAACTCCTGCCAAATCACCGGGCAATCCTGAGCCCACTAAAGCTTTCAGAGCTGCTTTTTATATATTCTACACTGACCATTCTTTTATTTAACAAAAACGCAGATTATTTGTCCTCAACTCAACTTTCTTTCACAATTTTCTAGACGATTTCTTTCTAAACAGCTCAATAAAAGACACCTTGTCTGAATAAATGAATCAATGAACAAACAAAAAGAGCAGACGAGAGTTAATGAGTTTTTGGCTTTGGATACACGTATACATTTATATCTAAAACTGTACACCGTAGTGCCTTCACCAGCGAGCTTGTCACTGTGGGGGATTATCATCTTTATGAAACAATTCACCCCTCGGCTAAATGCTGCAGCTTGTTATTATACAAATCTCTGTCTCCTGGCGTGTGTGTCTCATGACAGGTATTACAGAGGGAGTGTTACAAGTAACTGGATACCTAGAGAGTAGATGGTTTTTTTTCTGAGTCATCCTCAGGGAGGAGAAGCCTGTTCGATTAAAGAAAACACCAACAGTTTAGCGACTGTGAACCCAAAAAAAGTCCAAAGCTAGAGAGCAAAAAGGACCACAAATATCCTGCCTGGTTATCAATATAAAACTACAAGAGGTGCAAATTCTTTGGACGTTTGAGCTTTCACATACAAATGATCCAGACTGTATTGTCGGGCCAAGCCAGAGATGTTATGAAGTATTCCTCTCAGGCCGGTGATGTGGTTATTTATGTAGAGAGACTTTTAAGTAGGTCAACAATTGGATACGAGTACATTCATTTTTGATTTGATCTGACAAGCCGATGTGATTCAGCTTGAATCTGTGCCATGTGAAGCAATGCGGGGTTTGTTTTGGTGTCCTTATTTTGAGTCTGGCTGGAGCTCATGTGGAAATAAAAAAAATAAAATAAAAAAAATCACGTGTCAATCAAGATCCTCCATTAAACCGTCATCAGCAGCTTGTACAGAATCGTGTGTAAATTAAAAGTTCTTACCAGCTGTACATTTTAACTGTGATCCATAAAGTGCCTTTATCTTTTGCTTTCAGGAGCTTTGTAACATAAATGAACTTCACCTACATGTTATATTCTTTCAACAAAAAGGAACATTTGAGTCACTGCTGCAAATATAAAAGTCTTCCATCTCATCCTGCCAATACTGCAGAGAAAGTGGGAAAACTGCATATATAAATAAAATAATCTTCTGTAGACTCGCAGATCACATTCTGATTCATGTCGCTTCCAGGAAACGTGGTTTCAGGAAGATGGTGGGTAACCAAAAATATATTACACTCCTTTCCCAAGAGGGACTTCTTCTCAGGTAATCCTAACTGGTTCCGCAACTCCTTTCCAGTCACAAGCTGACTCACTCTCTTTAACTGTCCTGGCAGATTCTTTACATCCAGAGAACAATTAATGCAGATTTAATACCTGTCAGTGGTATTTCCCTTTAGGAAGGAGCAGGAAACACCAGCTGGCAGGCCGACTGCTGATTATTAATTTAATCTGTCAAATGTAAGAGCCTTGTTCATACTTTATGTCTATCACTCCATTACACACAATGGCAGGCTAGGTAGGACATTCAATGACAATGAATCATGTCCATAAACCGCTTACTAATTAAAATCCACCCCTCCGTTTACAGATGAGATGGCACTGAGATTTCTCGGCCATCTCGTGTGTGTTTGAGTGCAGAAAGCAGGTACAAGATTGTTGCTTACTACTATGACTCCAGACTACACTGGAATCATCATCATCACATACAGTATTTATATATTCCTTCCTCTTCAAACTAGACTGAGTTTTAGAAAATAGCAGGATGTCCCAAGCTGATTTGCAAGATCAATATCTGAGGCAAACAAGGTACTTTTAAATTGATCGGTTTCAGCTATTTTAAGCCCCATCAAACTATCAAACCACAGGCACAGCAGCTCCAGACTGACACTGCTCTCTTTCGCTGCTGGAAACCATTAAAGCCACAGTTACACAGTTTGACAAGAAATTTAACAGCAATCTCATATCTGTCCAGTAAATATGAAGCAACAGCCAGCAGCTGGTTAGCTCAGCATAGCAAAAAGACTGAAAATAGCGGGAAACAGCTAGCCTGGCTCTGTCCTCAGGTAACAAAATCCATCTACGGCCAATCCAGGACCAGTTACCAGGCAACCAGCAAGTTACAAAGAAACTGTCTAGTACATAACCCCCTATTAAACAAGGCCTACTTGTTATTTTTTACACTGGTAGGTTCAAACAGAGCTAGGCTAGCTGCTTCCCCCCGTTTACAGTCTTTATGCTAAGCTAAGTTAGCCGGCTGCTGACTGTAGCCTCATATAAAGCTTCCAATAAGGAGAGCGGTATCTTCTATATAGACTCTGCCAGGTACAGATTTACCACACAAGACACCCACATGATCACCAGTTCATAATTATTATCTCACTTCTTTTGTAAGTGTATATAAAGGTTGTAAACATTTGATGTGGCAGGTGCACCTTGTATAGCTTGTATAGCTATAGACTTTGCACCCACTGCAGTTGTGTCCACAATTTTACAATGCAATGGACGACTGCAACTGACATTTTGGATCTGTTCACTGTTGGTTTCATAATGAATGGGTTAAACTGGAGATTTCTTGCCCAAGTGACTCAAGCCATCCCCATGTGCATAACAACTAAAACATCTCCAGCAGTTACTTTAAAGGTACTGATGTATACATCCTACATATGGAAGCTATGCTTAGTTTTGGTGTGATATAATTTCATGTATAGTTTAGAAATCAGCGATTCAGTTAATGCAATGTTTGTTTTATGAAGCCATACACTATACACCTCTCTAGTCTGGGAGTGGCACATTGCCTTAGGAAGCAGTATTTATGTTTAACCATAACTCTAACCATGAAAATGACAGTATTTTTCACTCCTGTGCAATAACTTTCCTCTTGCTCACGTTTAGAGAGTGGCTGGCTCGTGGATCAAACATTATAGCTGGAGCGATCCCGTGGTGACGAAATGACCCTGACATCTATTAGCACAAGTAAAAGGTTTATCCTATAAGAGGCTCAGGAGAACAAGGATTGAAACCCTGGAGTCAGATTCGATGCAGGCCGTAGCTTTGCCCGAGGGAGCGATGGAGAGGAGAGGGAGGAAAGAAGGGTGCAAATAAAGACAGAGAGAAGAGGTTTGTACTGCCTGTCTGACAGAAAACCACAGTGAGCTGAGGTGTAAAGACACGTCTATTCTTTGGAGGTTGATCAGAGAGGCAGCTCTGATTGGGGCGATGTGATGCAAGTGAGGCAGGTCTATCTATCAGCGCCTCTAACTCCACTGCATGTATATCTGTCCTGTCAATCTCGGCCTTCCTCCACAGCTCACCTCACCACCGCCCTTCTGTCTTTATGTTCTCTCTCTTTTCTCTCTCTGTGGTAGAAGGCCATACATCATTCATTCAAATTTTTCCATTCGTGTGTGCTTTGCTTACCTTTGATATATTGCTGGACCTGCTGGCAGAATGACCCAGAGGCTTTTCATTCTGTAAAAGAAGATGAGAAAGACACATTCAAAAACGGAAAAAGAGATGCAGTCCAATCTGCACATGCTGTCTGCACAGTGATAACTGGCAAATCCCGCATAATTACTATTTGCATCACACTTTATTTGTAATGAATGGTGCTGTAGATCTGTTTGACATAATTAACATCTGAGCATTTGAAACAGCACAGCCAATTACCGGAAATTGTTAACAACACTAGGAGTCTACATGTGTAGGACTTCCAGGTAGACATAAGGGTGCTTTGAGCTACATGCTAACATTAGAACGCCAATGCGCTCACAATAACAATGCTAACGCGTTGATTTTCACACGTTGAGTTACCATGCTCAATAGATTAGATTAGCGTGTTAGCATTTGCTAATTTGCAGTTAGCACAAAATACAGTTGATGCTGGAATATTATTAGTTTTGCAGGCCATGAACCAAAGTGCTGGAAAATGACATTTTGACCTGATGATGGTGCTATGACAAGTTAAAGCATTGCCAAAGTTATTACAAGTCAACCTAAGGGGAACATGAATGTCTGTACCAAATGTCATGCCGATAAATCAAGTAAAATAGTAGTCAAGATATTTCACTAAAATCCCAAAAACGTTAAAGGTGGCTCTTAAGGTAAAGTCATTGGGATTCATTGTCTGGGTACCGTTAATGTCTGAAACAAAGTTCATGGTAATCCATTTAATAGTTATTGAGCTATTTCAGTCTGGACCAAAGTGGTGGACTGACCAAGATCCAAGCAATCTCTAGAGCTATGCAGCTAGCATCCCTGAAAATGACAATGCTAGTAGAAGAAATACAGTACAAAGATACAGTAACTATGTCAATATCAATGAAAAAATTTTGTTATAGGCTATAATAGAAGAAATAGGAAGAACTTTTTCATGGTTTGTCTCCTAACGAGCAAACACATCAACCAAACACAGCAAGGCTACATTCCTCAGCAGCCTGTGAGGATTTTAAGTTAGTAAATCAAGTCATTTTGGCACGAGACAAAAGGAGGACAAGCCGATTACATAACACGTCCGAGAAACTCCAAATCAAATGGTGTCACAATATTTGTATCATTACCCGGGGAGCGAATCAGGCCAAACCTGTCAGCACTCAGCACAGTTAAGTTTTGTTTTGAGGCTGTAATGATCCTCAATTCCCACTCAGTGTTCTCAGCTTGCACCAGAGACTCGGATAAACAGCCACTGGGGTGTTGTACTGCATTCAGTGTTGGTATTAAAGCCTTGCGTGGTTCCTTAATGAGTAATCAATCATCGCTACATAATGCTGAGTTCACACCGGGTCTGACAGGCTGTGGTGCTTTGGACACAAACAAATCTTTGCAAAGGGAAATCAGCTCTATGGGGAGGAGTGTTTTAACTGTCTATACACTGCACACACGGGTGAATGGCCAGGGGCAAAATTTAATCAAAGCTCCCATTCAATACACTGCACATACCAGCCGTCCTATGGAGGTGTAGTATATTTTAACTTTCACCTGATGGTTACGCTAGATAAAAGGTCAGAGGATCAGAGTTATTACAAGCATGAAGGTTGGACATTTTGTGGCAATCCCAAAGTGGAGACATTTCATTTAAAAAGAGATTTTCAGAATAAGGTCACAATATTTTGAGAAGTAGTAAAATTTAAATACTGATGAATAAGATGAGAGCAGTCTGTCTGTTACATGTCAAATTAGTGGTATAACTTCAGGTCAAACAACAAGTTTTACCAACAAGCCCCTTATCTAAAAAAAAGAAAAGAAAATTTAATTAAAATGAATTAAACCAGTTACATGAAGTATGAGTCAATAACCAGCTGTGTTGCGAAGCAGCAGCTGGAGTACAGCGGAGACCTGTCTTGTTCTCCAGACAGCTGAGACAAGAGCACAGTCGTCATATGTGATTAAAGTGGGCTTTATGCAAATTATGTAAAAAGGCATCCACAATCTAACTATCTAATAGTCTTCTGTGCATTATGTTATTGGCCCACGTATCCAATTCAGACCAGCAGGGAAGCAGATGTGCAGTGCTCTTCACTGGAGGTGGAAAACTCAAAGTAACTGTTTGAAAACTCCTCTCACCACCGTGTGGCTTACTGGCCACCCAAATGTTAACTTTCCCACCACGATAAAGCACACAGAAGCTTTCCTATGCTTTTCAATGGAAAGCATTATGGAGTTGGGAGACGGTCCCAAACAGAGCATAGACGCCTATATGAGAGGCGGACAGGAGACCAAATAGTGCCGTCCAAACATGTTTTTTACAAGTCAAAATAACTGTAGGCCACAGTAGCCTATGGACTGTAATCCAACAAACCTATTAGCATAACATGACGTTTTACACTCAAAGCAACCTATTCTGTTTTTTTCTCACAAGATTATGATTTATTTTTACAACTTGACTAGTTGTCATGGTGATAGAGCACTACTGTATGTACCAAGTCTCTCCATCACTCTCTGCTTGCACTTAACTGCGGACAGTTAAATCCAAGATACACGCACACGCACGCGCACACGCACACGCACGCGCACGCGCGCGCACACACACACACACACGCACACACACACTTTTTGTGTGTGATTGTGGTCACACAGACCCTCCCAGCCACGCTGATAAGATGACAGCTTGGACATGCTTTCTGTGTGATTAAATAGTTTGGATAACGCCAACATACCAACACTTGCATCCAAACATACCACTTCTTGACCTTTAAACTACTGTCACACCCTCATCTGGTCTTATTGGAAGCAAAGGGCTATGAATTTGTGGTCAGCGCAGAGAGTGCAATTAAACACGCATCAGACATCTCCTGCAACTCTAATTCCCCAACATGTCGACTGGTAACAGGGCAACAGCAAAGGTTTCCATTATCTTATGAGGCAAAAAGCTGACATTTTATAAGGAGAGAACTCTGAATAGACTACTACAATTCCCTGTAATTTTGATAAACCAAAATGTCAGTTGCAAGCTTGTGGCCATTATCTCTAATCTCAAGCTGTATCTTGTGTTTTAATCTTCCAGTAAGACGCACTTTGTGGCTGATCCAGTGACACAACTTTCACATGCAAAATGTATGTTTTAACCAGTGGTTCTGCAGATACAACTGCAGAGGCAAGATCTCAGTCTTTTACTGTACTAATGGATTAAAATGAAGCAGTTCCCCTCCATCTTCAAGTCATTACCTCCTCAACATCTTCAATACAATGCCACAAAATGGTAAATACAGCTTGCAATGGGTGCAATTTGTGAAGCAAATCTATTTTGTCAGATTGTTGAAGAGGGTAAAAATTCTATTTTGTATAGGAGATGACAGCCGGGGATAACGAGGCACAGCCAAAAGAATAGAACAAATTGATGATCCTTGCCCTTAATCCCTCCTTCTTGGCCAAAAATGGAGTAACAAGCAGATATGCTCAGACCGAAGAGTTCCGGGAAATGGGCCACAAATGGGCCGATGACTTTTATAGACAGCCGTGATTAGAGTAGAGAGGCGGCAGACGGATGACAAAAGATGAAAAAGGAAATAGATCAACACCATTTCTATGCATCCTCTCTTTTTTCCTAACCCCATTTCTTTAAAAATCCTCTCCAGAAAACTGTGTTACCTGCAGTACAAGGTCTGGGAGTCACCTTCACTGCCACCATGACTGTAGACTATAAAGGGTCTTATTCTCTGGGCTCATGCATAATTCTGATAAAGAAGGTTTCAGGTTTCACAGTCCGCTGTGTCTGTCTTTCTCCACCTCCTCTGTGGGGCTGTTCGCAGCCCCAGGCTTTGATAACACAACTTTCAGACTGGACTCTGAAGACTGGAGGTTGTAAGAAAACGAAGCTTAGGAGAGTATGGCAGAGGAGGAGAGGTCATATTCAGAGGGACGCCTTTCAGGGCTCTGTTCTCGGCCCACAGGGAGGAGAGCTCGGCTCTCTTTAATGCAAGAATCTCAAAAGATAAAACCTTTGCAAATGTAACCCTGCCTGTTTGAAATGTGCCTGTTCTCCCCAAAGTTTCTATCCTCAACACAACTTTTTCAGTAGTTGAATCCACCATCTGTGTCATCTTTCATGAAAATGTCACAGATTGAGCTGTAGACCATATGGGGCATGTATAGCCTAGAGCTGAAACACCAGTCAATTTTAATCAATCAAGTAAATCAATTGGCAGTTTTTTTTCGTTGATTAATCAAGAAAAAATACCAAATTTACAAATGCAGTTTTCTTTTGAGTGTCATTTTAAATTTAAAATACCTTTTGGTTTTGGACTGTTGGTCGGACAAAACAAGACATTTGAAAATGTCACCTTAGGCTCTTAGAAATTAAAAAATACACTAAACAATTAATCAAAAACATTGTAGGCAATCATTATTTACGCCCTTTAACTATACAGTATATAATTTAGGGCAGCAACTAAGGATTATTGTCATTACTGATTGATGTGACTATTATTTTCTTTATTAATCAATTAATTGTTTAGATTCTAAATGCTTTGATACATTGAAGAAGCTGAACCAGAGAATCTGCATTTTTGCTTAAAAAAAAGAAAAGAAAAGAAAAAGCTAAATGTGTTTTGTTTTGTTAGTAAGTGATATATTAGAGAACCAGATCTTCCAGATACTTCCTCCTGGTTTTGGAACCATTTTACAGCAGCGTCATGCCACAAGCAGAGCATAGAGATGGGTTTCTGTTTGAGGTTGACAGCTTCTCAGAATACAAAACCTGAGACGTGCAGTCAGCAAGGCTGCTCACACACCATCTGTTCTCGCCTATACCGACAACAGTTTCAGACCCAACCCAAACATGAAATGAGATAGGTCAGGGTCGCAAATGAGAACTGCTTGTGAAGCTTGCAAACCTTCACCTTTCCAACCTTCAACCATTTTATCTCATGAGAGACAGACGGTTTTATAACAGCAACACAAAAGGAAAATTCAACTTTTGAATACTATTATGCTCCATTATCAGTCTGTTGTGCATTTTATATTATGCATGCTAT